TATCAGAGCTGTTTATTATGTACCCATCAGTCTCGCTGCTAATGGAAACAGGCTTGGGAAAAATATCTGAATACCCAATAGACTTGTGTTTATAACCACTGAAATTCATTATTAATCTGTGTATACTGTTGGAACACAAGTGGCACATTCTTTTGTGAGTTATTTATACATCTAAATACACATGTACTTATACATAATGTTTATATATGTGTATCTTCTTGATTATTTCTTTGACAAATTGAACATTAATTTTGTCAAAGTTGTTTTATTGTAAATAGCAAGTGCTTTTAAGCAACTAAATTTTACATTTGTTTGAACAAATAACATTATATTCTCAAACATCTACAAGGCAGTACCTAATGATGGCTCATCTTCTGGAATATTGCTAATAGAATAGACTATCTAATTTTATTTGACAAAAAAAATTGTGACACACATATATATGGTCATGATGACATCACACCGTAACCATATATAGGCACATCATGACTATATATGGGCATACAACAGTTTTTTTGTCAAATAAAATTTGACAGTCTGGACAGAGCCTAATAATTGTCAAAAAAAAAAATTGAACTTTCAATCACCAGTAAAACGATGAGAGAAATTCTATATCATCTTCACTTCTTGCATAGATGAGTTGCCATCATTTGCCCAGATTTGATTACTGAATGTAAGGTGGTATATGTGAGGTCTGTATGAAATCAGACACGTCATTGTTGAAATCGTATTAAGAACATTGTTAAATTCTTTGATAATTTTATTTGTTTGTAGTATACTTGAAACAATTTTCTTACTATTAAATGTTCATGCCTTTCCTTCATGATTTTCTCAAAATAGACTTGCATCTATAGAAGTGCTCAGATCTATGGATCTACTTAATCATGTATACTATGAATTATTTTTTATTTCCCAACAGCTAATTGACTCATTTTGTGTTGAGACCTCACATATACATTATAATTATGTTCATTTAGTCTGGCTAAAAATATGTTTGATGCTAAAAAAAAATATAGATGAGTGCAAATTTTGAGGGCATTAACAATTTTGTAAGCAAACAAATATGGAGCTTCTAATTTATAATATCTGTTGTTAATTATGTTTGATCAGAGGACCATTCATTTACCTTTGACCATATTATGAGTTTTTTTTTTATAACATTGTGTTATATTAGTAAGTTTTATGTCTGAGATTATAAGTAATTTGAGGCCACATACTAATTATCTATTGAGTCACAATAGCACATTGCACTATATGTAGCGCACATAAGCTAGATGCAAATGAGTTGTGTACGCGCATGCAGAGAGTATAGAAGTGCAAGGGATCCGACTGCCGTGATTTTGTATGCACGGAATGGAACATTAAAAAAAAAGTCCTGCCACAAGATAGGGAGCTCCCTATTAGAATTTGAATAAAGTTTGCTTGAAACAAGTCTTAAGGACACGCTCCTTTGTGGCAGTACTTTTTGAAATAGGATTACGTGCCAACAAAACCACGAAAGTCGGATCTCTTGTAGTTCTATACTTTTTTGCGCATGTTAGCTTGTTTTTGGTTGGTCATAAGAACACCTTCTTACTTGGATCCACATATCTGACAAATGAACTCAGAGCTTGTGAATACAATTACATATGCACACATGCCTCACAATAATGTCATCAAATTACTTGTCATCTCAGATGTGACACTCACTACAGTATTATGTATTCTTTAAGATTACCATATACCCTTTATATTGTATGATTGAAAATTTATGGATGAATAAAAAATTTAGGTATAACAAGACTGTTGATCCTGGCAATGAACTGCAGGAGAAGGTCGGCATTGGGTCACCGCAGGAGATCTACCACTTTAGTAACGCCATTGCACGCATCCTCAACCGACTGGTAAAAATAGAAGTGAATGATGTAACTATGGCAATGGTAAGTATTCATAATAAATATAGATTATTATTACAAACAAGTTACTTTCCAGATGCTTTATTGTCTATTTCGTGAACACTTAACTGGATAAACCGACTAATTGCCTTTGTTCGAGAAACGGAACACCCCTTCAAATAAAATGGGCACCACGTACGATCCGTCCCTCTAACAATATATCTCTTTTTCCCCTCGTGCTGTCACCGAGCACTATAAATGGTCAATAAGCACCACTTAAGTTCTGTTGCTGGAAAGACCATTGTGCTCTATGGAAAGAAACACAATTGGTTTGATCAAATGATGCCCAGAACAAGCATATGCTATCTGACAAAGTCTGATCAAACATTGATAAGCCCTGCACACACTCTCAAATAAAATTTGATAGTGAGGACAGAACATTATGTGATTAGATTTTATTGATAATTTATTAATATGTTGATCGTGTTCTTCATTTTAGGTATTAGCTCAGAGACTTGAAATTCGACACAGTCTGCTGAAAGCTTTGGAGTTCATACCAAGCAGAACTGCATTTGAGATGCATATAAGCATCAGCTCTGTGGCTGCTGTTTGTGAAAGACCATCTGAGGTAGAATACACGCCATCGTGTTGGGATTCAATATTTCGACATTAATTATGTCATCATCAGGAATGAAAAAATTATCCATATTAGCAAGCTTATATGCACTAGTACAAAAAGTGTTTAACCAATCAAAACATTACCTCTAGTAGGTGACATAGCAGTGATTTAAACAAAAGATCAAAGCATTCTTACTCTAAAGATCAAAGCTAGCTACAAAAACAAAGAAAGCTCTTTTGAAGCTCTGAGCCCATTGTTAAGCAAAGGGTGTAGTCTACGTATAGCGAACGCTTCTTTAAACAATAGGATAGACCAGTTTCGGGAGCTGTCAATAATGTTAGTACTAGAAAATATTAAACCTAATTTATTACTTACATTACAGACGACATTATTATTTTCAAGTATACCCTGTAATCCTAAAACATATTGGAATGCCTCACAGTTTTTAACATGGTCAAATATAACACTATCAGATCGTGAAGAATGTTCTTTAAGTCTAGTTATTAAGCACCTATCTGTCTTACCAATATAATCACTATTGCAGCCTGGACATTTGAAATGATAGACAACAGAACTTCTGTACTCCTTAGGGGTTTGAAATAATGAATCCCAACACGATGGCGTGTATTTCAATACTTGGAGTATGTATTATACCTGAGATTATCTGAGATTAATCAGTGGACCTTTCGGTTTTTGGAAAACGCTCCGTACTACATTCATACTAGTTCTACTTAAATTCAGTGCACATTCTAAAAATTGGCTTTAAGGTTTTTGTAAGTGTGTGCAGTGGTATGGTAAAAGTGCTTACATTACAATTCCATATTTCTGGGTTCAATCCATTTTTTACTCTTTAATGTAAAAAATTGAACATCCTCATTTGTTACTATTTAATAGCTTAAATGCAGAGAACATTATGCGGAGAGCAGCCACGTTTCTAAAATATGCTCTTTTGATGATCATTATTAAAGTACTTTTTGAACATTAAAATTTCAGGCCTGCAATTATCCTTCCATGTCTGGTGAGAATTTAATATTATCCCGCAGTGTCTTCATCTTTGGTTGTGAGGCAGCAGCGGATTCAAGGAGGGGTGGGGGGACAGCTGGCATGGGTACTCCCCCCATATTTTTCAATATTGTAATAAAAATGGAGAGTCTGAGAGTGCTATATCGGGCCATCTAAAGGTGGCATAGTCATAATTTTTCTTGCCTTGCCCATAAAATGTGGAAGTGGTTTGGTGCAGCGGGAACGGTTTTGCTTAATTCCTAACCTTGAGGTTGGGCTTTCAATCCCTTGCTGTGCATTTCACTTATGCCCTTGGGAAAGGCACTTTCTGCATTGCTTCTGTCTACCCAAGAGTGGGTACCTGGTAGGGTTAAATGCCAAAATGCGCTGATGTAGCTACTGCAATGTTATGGAATACCACCACAGAGAGCTTGAATTAATGTTCCATAGGCATTTAATCCAATAACAATGATAATGATAATATGAAGCGCATAGAGGCTAAGGTGGGTGGACCCTCTGTCTGTGAAAGTCCTTCAAAGTTCCCCCTCTATTTCAAATTCTTAGATCTGCCACTGGGCTTTACATAGGCACATTTCAATACATGCTTGCTAAATGTTAATTCATATTGTTATATATCAAATTGTGAGACAACCGATTCAGTGTTTGCAATTGGTTTCCATTTCAGCTAAGTCTTGGGTCCATTGAAGTAGCCTCAGGTATAATCAAAGAGGTTGCCAAGCAGGCTGTAGCACAGCATGAAGATGAGGAACACCTTCTGCAGCTTAGCATAGATGCTACATCTGGTCTACTGTCAGCCATCACCATGCCACATCTCCATAGTGCTTCAAACTCTACTAAGAGCAATGTAGCTAACAGTATTGTTGATGCTACAAACTTACTTTTAAAGGTATTTAAATTCTCTTTCAGTGAATATTTCTAGTTTTTGATTTAATGAGAAAAACCCTGATAAGTTATAACAAACTGTTTTATATAGGGCCTGTAACTATCAAATAGCAAAAATTTAAATAATTTTATATAACTAATATATGCATAAGTTATACATAGTTAAAGCAAACTATCAATATCTACATTAAAAATTACATTTATGTATATTGTAACTATAATGAACTTGAGAATTTATATCTTTTCAATTTGTAGCTACAATTAGCTCGGTTAGTGGTGAACCAAACGGCAATAAGTTTTAGCACTCCAGATATCAACATGTTTGGTAAAAGACTAGATAAGCTGTCCAGTCTGATTGTGAAGGATGGCAGAACACAGTTCTTCTTCCCGAGCAGCATGGATACCATATTGAAGAATGTGACAAGTGCTGTTACTACGGGGGGCAGTTGTCATGATGTTGCTATGACAACTTATGATGTGAATCCTTATCAGTGGAGCAAAGTTGGAGCTATGGTAAGCTTAGGATACAAACTGTATGCATAAAAATTTCAAAAGCTAGAGCTAGTGGAACAGTAGCCTTCAACAGTGAAGTTTTTTCAGTTGACTAATTATAGGCCTACTGAAAAGAATAACTATCAGTTGAGGCTTGCCATTCTGAAAACCAGCATACTGTTGCTAATTGGTAATTAGCATAAGACTGTGGCAGTATTGTGTACTTCAAACAGAGAAGCCATAATATTTTTACTCATAACTTTGGCAATAGTAGTAAGTTGATGATCCATCATTTTAAATTTTATAATATGGAGAATATGAATATATTAAGAGTCAGATTTTCAGTTTTAGTTCACTGATTCTGGTTTGGGATGGCAAACCTCAATTTAAACAATACCCATGAAATATACAGTGTGCTTATCATCTTTAAATCCGTCTTAACTGCCCATCTATCTGATTATCCCTCCTGTCCTGTCATTCATTTTTTTCACCCTTCCACATTTTTACTACTTTTTTCAACCATCTTTCCTTTGTTTTCCATCCCCCATTCTCGCTTCATTTCTGTATCTGCCCTCACTATGTCATTTCATTTCATTTCATTTATTTGTCTCAAACAATTAGAATGTACATAAATAGAAACGACAAGGAACAATCACAAAAGTACAAAAAACAGAGACAGGACACTCCAAAAGGAAAATCAATCACTGTCGAGTGGAGGCCCTTTACCAGAAAAACACAATACATACAATATAAAATTCTTCAGAAAGATAAAAAAATCGAAAGATAAATATTGAAAAATAGAAAAATGAGTAAAAATCAATAAATGAGCAAATTTAATTTAAACGGTATTTGAGATATAAAAATATTCAGATAAGCATTAAAATTTATCTTAAAATATTCAATGTAAAAATGTCAAACAAATCATTTAAAATTGCATTGCACTTAAAATATATAAAACAAGATTAATTATAATTATTAAAAAGAATGAGGTTAAAAATTTAAAATTTAATTTAATAATTAAGAGTTAGCGTAATGTTTATTCAGATTGCTAAGAAAATGTTTGTAACTAGTATTAAGGAGAGAATTTCGGAGGTCAGCAGGTAATGTCTCCCATAATCTAGGATGGTCTGTCTCTTATACACATCTAGATGTGTATAAGAGACAGGTCGAGTGGAGGCCCTTTACAAGAAAGACACAATACATACAATATAAAATTCTTCAGAAAGATAAAAAAAATTGAAAGATAAATATTGAAAAATAGAAAAATGAGTAAAAATCAATAAATGAGCAAATTTAATTTAAAAGGTATTTGAAATATAAAAATATTCAGATAAGCATTAAAATTTATCTTAATATAATATTCAATGTAAAAATGTCAAACAAATCATTTAAAATTGCATTGCACTTAAAATATATAAAACAAGATTAATTATAATTATTAAAAAGAATGAGGTTAAAAATTTAAAATTTAATTTAATAATTAAGAGTTAGCGTAATGTTTATTCAGATTGCTAAGAAAATATTTGTAACTAGTAATAAGGAGAGAATTTCCTTATTACTCCACGTCATTTCCATCTTCATTAACATTTGCGAAAACTATACAATATACAATACAAATACAATACAATTTTATACAATTTTGAATAGACTCTAATAAATATTTGTTGCCTCTTTCCCCAAACAATCCTTAACTAAATTATTAGCGTCATAATCCACAAACATTAGTTTAATTTGGAATTGGTTGTTTGCTAGGTTACAACAAGTGTTGCTTCTCTTGAGCTGTACACGTGTGATGGTCTTGACTTGGTTGTGGAAAACCTGCCGACAGGAAATGAAATTGACCTCACTGTACCGCATGACCTGCCTGTTGAAGTAAGTTGAAATAAGACTATTGCTGCTTTGTAGAATTTTGCTTGGTCCCAGGGCCATGGCTTCAATTCGGGTGAAAGTTGTCTCGTGTCTACAAACAACTGTACTTTCTAAGACTCATAATGAAACTTTTTTATGTAGAGCATTTTACTGTATATAAGTTTTCCTCAAGTAATTCAACTTGGTATTGGTAAATTAAGTAAAATATTTGAAAAATTTAAATGTCGCTTTCAAGTGCTGGTTAAGGTGCTTGCCTTGGAATCGTAAAATCTGGAGGTGAAGGTGCTGGGGAGGGGGAGGCATGATGGGGAAGTGAGGATGTGCTAGTTAGGGTAATTATAAGGTATATTAGCCCTGGGGTCTGTGTCACTATTTTTAACTGCTGTACTCTAGTATAATTTTTGGTCAACACATTTCTAGAGGGAGGGGTGGCAGGGAACTTTTTTTGTGATTGAATTTCTACTCCTCTTAGATACACTACTGCAGCCAACCTATGTTAATGTATTCATTTTTATTTCTTTTAACATGCTGTAATATCATTTTCAATCCACAGAATTCAGAACCTGGTAATTTTACTTTTGATAAAGCAAACATGAATATTCATGAGTTTAATGTGACTGATATGAATATGCAACAGACATTACATTTCACCTTTGAGCTGTCTGCAGTTGCAAAGAGGGAGTTATTTCCCCTTAGGTTGGTTCTACGCTGGAGAGAGCAGCCGACTCCATATGAGTATGACCTCAAATGGGATTTTGAGAATTATGAGGAAACTATTGAGGAATTTCTTCCACCAGGATTTTTCAATGGTAAGACTGGGGCTTAAAACTGAAATTGCTGGGGTTTTTTTTTAGAGTTTTTTAAAAACGTTCCTTTTGTTAGTATTTGTATTTTTTTTTTCCTTTATGTGATGAAGGGTTTTGATAATTCAGAGGATTCTGTTGCCTTAAGTACTGTATTAACACATTCGTTTGCAGGGACTTGTGTTCACATCCAAACGTAGCACTTTTGTATGGTATACGGACATAAACCACCCAGGACATAAACCACCCAGGACATAAACCACCCAATTGGAATATACCATTGTTAAAGTGGGTGGGCAACAGGGTGAACAATTTATCTATTTTATCTAGCTTTACAATAGGACTTAATTTGCTATTGTACACTCCTATTATACGCCTGTAATTCATTGATTTTTTCTGACAACATGCATGTTGGTTAGTAATCATTGTAGATTTTAGTAATCACTGTGCTTAAAGTTTTTTTAGTTTTCTAAATTTATTTTAATTTTTAAAATGACTTACATTAAAAATCACTTTCAATTAAATACTTCCCTTTAATAATAATAATAATTTTATTTTAGTAATCACTGTGCTTAAAGTTTAATTGTTTTAATAGGTATATTTTAGTTTTCAAAAATTATTTTCTAAAATTATTGCACAATGGGTAAAAATAAGAATATAAATGACTAATTTTATAAAAAAAAAAGTATTTATCATACATGTATATGGTTTACAAATTGAATTCTTAATAATTATCATTAATTTACATTTACAGTATTTATATTATATAACTGAGATAATAATTTGAATGTCTTGAATTCTGAATAATTATCATTAATTTACATTTACAGAATTTATATTATATAACTAAGATAATAATTTGAATGTAAATGTATCCATCACTAAGATCTTACCA